ACCCTGGACAGAGAGGAGGGGGTCCACCCTGGACAGAGAGGAGGGGGTCCATCCTGGACAGAGGGGGGGGGGTCCATCCTGGACAGAGAGGATGGGTCCATCCTGGACAGAGAGGCAGGGTCCACCCTGGACAGAGAGGAGGGGGTCCATCCTGGACAGGTCTCCAGTCCATCACAGGGAGACACAGAGACAAACAACCATTCACACTCACACCTAAGGAGGATTTAGAGAAGCCAATCAACCTAACAGTCATGTTTTTGTACTGTGGGAGGAAGCCGGAGTACCCGGAGAGAACCCACCATGCTCAGGGAGAACATACCGACTCCATGCAGAAAGGGCCCCGGGCCAGGAATCAAACCCGGAACCTTCTTACTTACTTTTTTCTTAGTTCAGCACATTTGTTGGATCTATTGGTCTAAATGCTGAATCTCATGTATCTCCATGTTTGAAGGCCTCCATGGTGCTGGGGCTTCATCCCTTAATTCTCTCTACAGGAGAGATGGGATGGCTGACATCATCAGTGACATCATCAGCACGGTTTCATAGCAGCAGGAAAATTAAACTGCACTGATCATTTTCGCTCTCTATGGTAGGCATGTCCCAGTAGAACTATTTTATTTCTGAGAATTGAGTATTGATTTGATTCGTCATCAGCATGGTTCTTGGTTCCTTTTTTTTCCTTTTTAATGAATGGACACATTTTAATTTGATATTCTAATGTTTTTTGTTTATTTTATTGTATTCATTCTGTCTTACCTGATAGTACTTTTTGTTAACCCTGGGTGGTTTTAAATGTGGTCTATAAATAAAGTTTCAGTTGAGCTGAATTGCTCGACTTTTGGAAAAAGCTTGAATGATATTACTGACGATCGGAGAACGACGGCGAACAGCAGTGGGTCGAGCATCCATTCACCTCTGGGTTATAGAAGAATGGAGGGTTTTTAGGTGCATGCTAATATTTCATAGGCAATGAGCTCTGTAAAGTAAATAATGCATTTATTGTGTGTAAATATATTAAAGAACACATCAGGACTATATTTGGAAACCTAATGCGTCTTCCTTATGCAGCTTCAGCTCTAACAGAACCAAACAGACGAGGAGCGTCACCAAAACTTTAATGGCATCTAAAATAGATTTACTGAATGATTAACGTGTTGGCAGGTCTTCTATCAACGGTGACCACCGCAGCTTCAAGCGTGTTTAGAGTCAAACTGTTGAGACGTGTTTCTCAATAG